CACCAGTGTTCAGGGTTCAGTAGGGGTCTGAAGCTTTCGATGCCTACATATCTGTCGACCTAAATTATAAGCTTGATTCTGGAATATTTGTTATCAGATCCGCATACGAAAAAAAAATATGAATACTTTGATTCTAAATAATGCAGTTTAGATAGTGCAGATTTTTATACTTTTCTTGTGGCCAATTTTTTATATATCTCTTATATCTTTTGAAGATATGCGTGTACCGGAAGAAGTTGGAGGGGAAGTAGTCCCAGTTGAGTTACTTCCTCGTGCTCCAGAATGTAAACGAGCTGATGAATGTAATGTTTCGTGTTCATTGGAGCGTATTAGGCAAGACTGTTTTATTTGCAAGTGCCCCAGCACAGATTCGAACCCAGGACATAAAGATGGTGAGTTAAAGAAAATCGACGCATAAAATGACTACTGTGTTTATTATTTTAACTTATGTATGAATAACATCGAGGTACAAACAGCGTGTGTACGTTTTTTTGTTTTACATATTTAGTGACTTAGTTGAAGATGTCTTTTCAAGCTTTCAGTCATCACAGCCTCTGTTAACGAGATTAAAGATGGAAATTTAAATCTTAGCTCACCTTTGGTAGGAGCTTGGAAAATTTTCCAATCATATTCCATCTTTTATCGTGATTAAAAATGGTTTACGTACAAACAATGTTAAAATCCAGGGTTCGATTCTACACAATGGACACAGCAGACAGCCCACTGTGGCTTTGCTGTAAAGAAAACGAGCAAACACGATTTAAGAGATAGTTACATAATATTGCGTCAATGTAGCGATCGAAGTTAAAAGATACTTCAAACAGTAAGGAACTAATAAAAATATTGATATTTTATATAGTTTTAAAATGGTAGTTAGGACTAGTTCTCCAAAATGGAACTTTCTAGATACCTTGTAGAATTCTCTAAAGAGAACGATACTTTATCTTCTTTTAAACATTCAGCACCAGAGACTGTCATCTTGACGAACAAGCCTCAGGACAAGATTCCTTATGACCCAATGTGTCAAGCTTCTCCTTACGATTGTCCTCATAATTGTGCCGTGTACGAGTTTAATGTTGGGTGTTTTAAGTGTGATTGCAACGAATCCAGCGCATTTCAAGGAGTTATGGCTGAGGGAGGTAAGTGATACGGGACAGTTAAAGCTACTTTTAAATGGTTTGACTTTTAACTCCTATAACGCATGACTAGCCATTTCTAGCACAGGTCCGTCTCACGCCTCGCTCGTTTCAGAAGGAAGAAATTGATCTATTAAGTGTTTATTTATTGGTTAAACCATTATAATAATAATTATATGTGTCTACAGCGCCATCTGTAGTGAATTACATACAGTGTAACCATGCAGAATAACTCGAACAATACTAAAAGCCTGAAACTAAAATTAAACGTAAATCAAACCTTGTGTTTAACACTGTTTCAATAAATTGCCAGCGAGATATCCACACGGGAAAGACTTTGTGCTGCCATCTCGTTGTTAAGGACACAACTAAATCTACATGAGTTTATATATCTATTTACGTTAAAATCATAAATAGTATTCAACGTTAAACTGGTACACAATTAAAAACATTTTATTTAGGCCTATCTATGGCCTGCAAAAAGTTGATGACTCTACATGTTTCGACGTTACAACGTCATCCTCAGTAACGTCGAAACATGTAGAGTCGTCAACTTTTTGAAGGCCATAGATAGGCCTAAATAAAATGTTTTTAATTGTGTACCAGTTTAACGTTGAATACTATTTATGATTTTAACGTAAATAGATATATAAACTCATGTAGATTTAGTTGTGTCCTTAACAACGAGATGGCAGCACAAAGTCTT